GGTGACTCTGACTCCTGGTGTCACCATCTTGGCTGGCTCCTGGGATGGTAGGAACAGGTTGGGAGGAGGATGAGGCTGGGTCTCTGGGACATCCCAGTGGAGATGTGATGCAGCCATTTGGCTCCTGGAGTCTGGAGGTGGGGGAAGAACTTAAAAGGCAGAGAATGAGGAACTGTTTATTCAAAGCGCAGGTGGGACCCAGTAGGGAAAGTGTGCACAGAGAAGCAAGGCCAGGGCAAGAGACAGTTCCCGGACCAGGAAGATGGATGGACGAGGGCACAGATGAGAGGAGTCGGTGAGTCCTGGAGGTGGGGCCGAGAGCCAGGGGTAGAAGGATTTTCACGAAGACAGTGTGGACTTGGGAGGAGGTGGAAAGGGGACAGCAAGGTGATAAATAAGGGCTGTGGCTCTGGAGAGACAGCTTTTTAAATTTGCCATATTTACTTTTTTTTTTTTTTTTTTTGAGATGGTGTCTCACTCTGTTGCCCAGGCTGGAGTGCAGTGGCGTGATCTTGGCTCACTGCAACCTCCGCGCCCCACCCCGGGTTCAAGCAATTCTTCCGCCTCAGCCTCCCGAGTAGCTAGAATTAAAGGTGCCCACCACCATGCCTGGCTAATTTTTGTATTTTTAGTAGAGATGGGGTTTTGCCATCTTGGCCAGGTTGGTCTTGAACTCCAAAGTGCTATGATTACAGGTGTGAACCACCATATCCAGCCAAATTGTTGTTGTTGTTGTTGTTGTTGTTTTTGAGACGGAATCTTGCTCTGTTGCCCAGGCAACCTCCACCTTCCAGTTTCAAGTGATTCTCCTGCCTTGCCCCCCTGAGTAGCTGGGACTGTAGGCACGCACTGTCACACCTGGCTAATTTTTGTATTTTTAGTAGAGATGGGGTTTCACCATGTTGACCAGGCTGGTTTCGAACTCCTGACCTAAAGTGATCACCTGCCTCAGCCTCCCAAAGTGCTGGGATTACAGGCATGAGCCACCAGGCCTAGCCCAAACTGGCTTTTAAACCAGGTCAAAGAATGGGTCATAGAGAGGGTAGGGGTATGCCTGGGCCCAGTTTCCTGGGCCCCATGACCAGGACAGAGACAAGAATGGAGGAGACTCAAACTTTGGTTTCTCAACGCTGCTTAGAAATGGACACGCTGTCAGGGGCCAGGCTTCCGTCCCCAGCCTCAGTAAAAGGAAAGTCTCTGGTCTCTATCCCCCTAGTATCCTCATCTGTAAAATGGGTCAATACAACAAAACCTGCCTTTATTGAGCACTTATTACATCCCAGGCCAAGGGCTGTCTCTCCATGTGTTGCCTCATTTAACCCTCAGAATACTGTCACTGACAGGCTGATGTCACTATTATCTCCATTTTATATAGATGAGAAAACTGAGGCACAGAAAGGTTCAGACATTTGCTCGAGGTCATACAACACATGAATGCAGATGCTGAGCTTCAAAGCTGGAACCTGAATTCTGAGCTTTAACACTGCACCACTAACACATACAAGGCACTTTACATCTACAGAGCACTCTCTTCCCTCGGGAGTGGCTGAGGGGAGTCATGAGGTGGCCGAAACACCCAGCAAACCGACATTACCACAAAGAATGGCCCTCCAAAGATGTCCACATCTGAATCCCCAGAATTGGTACATGTGTTGCTTTATATGGCACATGGGCGTTTGCAGGTATAATGAAATTGAGGATCTTGAGATAGGAAGAGTGTCCTGGATTATTTAAGTGGGCCCAGCATCATCACAGGGTCCTTGGAGGAGGGAGGCAAGAGAGTCAGAGAAGATGTGACAATGGAGAGAGAGAGACTGGAAGATGCTGCACTGATTTGAAGATGAGGGAGGGGCCACAATCCAAGGAATACAGGCCACCTCTAGAAGCTGGAAAAGGCAAAGAAAGAGACCCTCCCCTGCCTCCTCTGGAGGGAACTACTGCTGAGACCTTGGTTTTAGCCCAGTAAGTCTAACTTTGGACTTCTCCAGAACTGTAAGAGAATCAATGCCTGTGGTTTTTTGTTTGTTTTTTGAGACAGAGTCTTGCTCTATCACCCAGGCTGGAGTCCAGTGGCGCAGTCTCGGCTCACTGCAACCTCTGCCTCCTGGGTTCAGGCAATTCTCCTGTCTCAGCCTCCTGAATAGTTGGGACTACAGGCACGTGCCACCATGTCCAGCTAATTTTTGTATTTTTAGTACAGACAGGGTTTCACACTGTTGGTCAGGCTGGTCTCGAACTCCTGACCTCAGGTGATCCACCCACCTTGGCCTCTGAAAGTGCTGGGATTACAGGTGTGAGCCACTGTACCCGGCTAATGTCTGTAGCTTTAAGCCCCTATAAGTGTGGCAATTTGTTACAGCAGCGATAAGAAACAGTGACACTACATTCAGCAAGCCTGGCTTCCCTGGACGGCGATGGCTCCACTGTTACCACTGCAGATGGGAAGCATCCTTACATTTCCTTTGTCTGTTTTGACACAGGGTCTTGCTCTGTTACCCAGAGTGAAATCCAGTGGTGCAATCACCACTCACCACAGCCTCGCGTTCCTGGGCTCAAGCAGTCTTCCCACCTCTGCCTCCCAGCTAGCTTGGACTACAGGCACACACCAGTATGCCTGGCTAATTTTTTCATTTTTTATCTCGCCATGTTGCTCAAACTGGTCTCAAACTCCTGGTCCTGCCTGTGCCTCCCAAAGGCCTGGGATTACAGGTGTGAGCCACCACACCTGGCCTACCATTTTTGTTTGTTCGTTTGTTTTGAGATGGAGTTTCACTCTTGTCACCCAGGCTGGAGTGCAGTGGCGTGATCTCGGCTCACTGTAACCTCCGCCTTCCAGTTTCAAGCAATTCTCCTGCCTCAGCCTCCTGAGCAGCTGGGATTACAGGCGCCCACCACCACACCTGACTAATTTTGGTATTTTTAGTAGAGATGGGAGTTTCACCATGTTGGCCAGGCTGGTCTCAAACTCCTAACCTGGTGATCCACCCACCTTGGCCTCCCAAAGTGCTTGGATTACACGCGTGAGTCATGGCGTCCAGCCTGGCCTACCTCTTTTAAATGCTTCTTTAAAGTTCTAATTTGGTCCTCTCTGAACCTCAGTGTCTTTCTTTATTAAAAATGAAAATAGGGCCAATATACATGACTCTACAGGCAGAGTGAGAGGGCCTTATATTACTTGAAGTTACAACAAACCCCTGGGGCAGATGAGGCCTAGTTATTGTTCCCATTGCTCAGATGAACAAACTAAGGCTGAGAGTAGAAACAGCCTGCCTAGCCGGGCGCGGTGGCTCAAGCCTGTAATCCCAGCACTTTGGGAGGCCGAGGCGGGTGGATCACGAGGTCGAGAGATCGAGACCATCCTGGTCAACAAGGTGAAACCCCGTCTCTACTAAAAAAAAATACAAAAAGTTAGCTGGGTATGGTGATGCGTGCCTGTAATCCCAGCTACTTAGGAGGCTGAGGCAGGAGAATTGCCTGAGCCCAGGAGGCGGAGGTTGCGGTGAGCCGAGATCACGCCATCGCACTCCAGCCTGGGTAACAAGAGCGAAACTCCGTCTCAAACAAACAAACAAACAAACAAAAAAAACAGCCTGCCTAGAGCCACGCAGGGAGTAACAGAGCCAGGACTTGAACCAAGGCTGCTGACTTGAGTTCTAGCACAGAGGTTCGTGTCTCAGAGCCCAGCTCACATGCTACCTCCTCAGAGAAGCCTGCCTGGAAAACCCCAGCACATTTCATGTATTCACTCATTCCTGAGGCCGCCGTTGGGACTGTCCTGTTCCCAGTGTTGTGTGAGGACCCCTCAGGAACCCACAGGCTCGTAGACAAGACAGACACACAAACCACGGATTCCAGAACAGCCTGATAAATGCTGAAGCCAGGAGAACGAAGCCCAGGGGGTTGCTGGAGCTCAAAAAAAGGGGAAACTGACTGAGCCTGGAGTCAGGGAAGGCTTCTCAGAGGAGATGCTTATTGAGCTGGGGATAAGTGAGACCCAACAGAAAGGTGGCCAGGCATCCCCTGTGGAGGAGTGGCTTCCTCAGGGGAGGGAATGGGTTGGTCACCCAAGGCCTTCTAGGCCTCTGTGTTATTATGTATGAAATATGAATAGGCCAGGTGTAGTGGCTCACTCCTGTAATCTCAATACTTTGGGAGGCCAAAGCAAGAGGAACACTTGAGCCCAGGAGTTCAAGACCAGCCTGGGCAATATAGTGAGACCCCATGTCTACAAAAAATGTAGCAGGCTGGGCATGGTGGCTCACGCCTTTAATCCCAGCACTTTGGGAGGCCGAGGCAGGTGAATCACCCGAAGTCAGGAGTTTGAGACCAGCCTGGCCAACATAGTGAAACCCTGTCTCTACTAAAAATACAAAAATTAGCTGGGTGTAGTGGCAGGCACCTGTAGTCCCAGCTACTCAGGAGGCTGAGGCAGGAGAATTGCCTGAACCCTGGAGGTGGAGGTTGCAGTGAGCTGAGATTGCGCCACTGCACTCCAGCCTGGGCAACAAGAGCAAAACTCCATCTCAAATAAATAAATAAATAATAAATAAAATTAGCTGGGCATGGTGGCACGTACCTGTGGGACGTCAAGGCTGAGGTGGGATGTCAGGGCTGCAGTGAGCCATGATTGCACCACTGCACTCCTGCCTGGACAACAGAGCAAGTCTCTGTCTCAAAAAAAAGAAAAAAAAAAGAAAAGAATCATGGCCTACCTACCCAGAGCTCTGATACTTGTTAGGCCCAGGTGAGGGCTGAGCTGGAAGAAGAGAGAGGTCCTGGGACTCTCCAAGGAGGAGGTGAAGGTTGGGGAATAGGGCCGGCCTGGGAAGTGAGGGAGAGGCAGGGTCCTGGCTCAAGCCCCCACCCCACTCTGCCTTTCGGTATGACTACAGGAAGGCCTTCTCAGAGCCTCAGTGACCCCATCTGAGCAATGGAGCATGAGACAAAACTGTCTCCAAAGACCCTCCCCAGCCCTGACGGGGAAATGACAGGACACAAAATTACAAAAGGGTCTTTATTTGTAAAAAGCCAAAGGGGCCCCTGGGGCGACAGGACAGGCAGGCCGGCTTCTCAGGGGTCGGGGGTATTTGGGCAGATGCGCTTGAGTGGGGGGGCGCCCTCCGAGTCCTCTGTGTCACCCTGGGCTGCCTCAGGGACAGGTGGCACTGGCTCAAAGACGGGGTAAGCTTCGGGGGCCTGGAGAGGAAGGGTGGACAGGCGTGAGCTCCACCCAACCCAGGCGTCCAGCCTCCGAGCCTCTGCCTTCTCCAAAGCCTCCACTCCCCTCCCCTCCCAGGCGGGGGAGGCAAGCCCAGGGCCAGGTGCCCAGGACGCAGAGGAAGCAGGCACCGAAAACAACCACAGCGACACTGTGTAGGGGAACAAACCTGATATTTGATATTTCTGAAAATGCATCAAGGTCGCCTTGTGAGAAATGTCAGAGGTGTATGAGGGATTTTCTTACACTAATTTTACAGTTAAGATATTTTTTGAAAATACATGGAGGAGCACCGTGATACTGTTGGGCTTTTTATTTTATTTTATTGTTGAGACAGAGTCTTGCTTTGTTGCCCAGGCTGGAGTGCAGTAGCATGACCTTGGTTCACTGCAACCTCCGCCTCCCAGGTTCAAGCGATTCTCCTGCCTCAGCCTCCCGAATAGCTGGGACTACAGGCACGTGCCACCACGCCCGGCTAATTTTTTGTATTTTTAGTAGAGACAGGTTTCACTGTGTTAGCCAGGATGGTCTTGAACTCCTGACCTCATGATCCACCTGCCTCAGCCTCCCAAAGTGCTGGGATTACAGGCGTGAGCCACCGCGCCTGGCCTCTCAGGCTTTTAATGGTCTCAAATCGGCAGTGAGCCAGCCCTCAGCACTTTGTCTCTGAAACACCCTTTCTGTTTCAGTCCCAAGAATCCAGCCCCTAAACCTTCAGCTTGGTCCCAGGTCTGCCTCTCCTCTGGGGTCTCAAGATGCAGGCTCCAAGCCTTCGCTGCCCAGAGCCCTCATTCCCTTCAAGACCCAGGATTCCAGCCTTCTGGCCTTTCTCACCTCAGCCTCCAGCAGTTCTGGAACAGGCTCCTCCTTGGTCAGCATCGGGGGTTCATCGGTGCTGCCTGTAGTTATGGCCCCGGGATCTGGAACATCAAGGTAACAAACATCCCCTGAACAACCACTCTGTGCCAGCAGCACAGACAGTGGGGGAAACAGACGGTCACAGGCCCTAGTCACAGAAGGCAGAGGGCCAGGGAGTAGAGAGGACAGAGCAGGAACCTGGCTGTGCCCCAGGAAGCAGAGGAGGGAACACTGAGGTGGGAGCTCGAGGGTGAGTAGGGCTTGACAGGGTAGACGGGCAGTTTCCTGCCTCTGCAAGGCAGAGGGCTCAAATCCTGACCTTGGGCCAGCTACTTAATTTCTGTGGGCCTCAGTTTCCCCATCGGTAAAATGGGGGTAATGATAGTAATTACCTCATGTAGCCGTTGTGAGGGTCAGATGAGCGGATTCAGGTAAAGCACAGCGGCTGGCACACAGTAAGTGCTTAATAAATCCTTGCTACCATTTTTATATTAGCAAAGGTATACAATATCTAGACCCAGACCCAGCCTACAGACCCACAGGTAGTTTTTTTTTTTTTTTTTCCGAGACAGAGTCTCACTTTGTCACCTAGGCTGGAGTGCAATGGCGCGATCTCCACTCACTGCAACCTCCGCCTCCTGGGTTCAAGCGATTCTCCTGCCTCAGCCTCCAGAGTAGCTAGGACTACAAGCATGCTACCACGCGATGGGGTTTCACCATGTTGGCCACGATGGTCTCAATATCCTGACCTCTTGATCCACCTGCCTTGGCCTCCAAAAGTGCTAGGATTACAGGCGTGAGCCACCTTGCCCAGCCCCCCATCAGGGTGTTCTTAGCAGGGAACCATTAGGTCAGCGGAAAACAGTTCACAAAAGCCCCAAGTGTCAGGCCAAGGAGTCAAAGGCCACAAGAAACCACCTGAAGGATCTGAAACAGAAAAATGACTCCATCAAAATGTGCTTCAGAAAACATGGCTCACACCTGTAATCCCAGCATTCTGGGAGGCCAAGGCAGGAAGATTGCTGGAGCCCAGGAGTTAGAGACCAGCCTGGGCAACATAGTAAGACCCTATCTCTATAAAAAATAACAACACTAATTAGCTGAGTGTGGTGATGCGTGCCTGTAGTCCCAGCTACTCAGGAGGCTGACTGAGCCCAGGAATCCAAGGCTGCAGTGAGCTGTGATCACGCCCCTACACTCCAGCTTGGGCAACAGAGCAAGGCCTTGTCTTGAAAAAAAAAAAAGCAAAGCTTAAAAAATATTAAGGAAAGGCCGGGCGCGGTGGCTCAAGCCTGTAATCCCAGCACTTTGGAAGGCTGAGGCGGGTGGATCACGAGGTCGAGAGATCGAGACCATCCTGGTCAACATGGTGAAACCCCGTCTCTACTAAAAATACAAAAAAAACTAGCTGGGTGTGGTGGCGCGTGCCTGTAATCCCAGCTACTCAGGAGGCTGAGGCAGGAGAATTGCCTGAGCCCAGGAGGCGGAGGTTGCGGTGAGCCGAGATCGCGCCATTGCACTCCAGCCTGGGTAACAAGAGCGAAACTCCGTCTCAAAAAAAAAAAAAAAAAAAAAAAAAAAAAAAAAAAAATATATATATATATATATATATATATATATAAAGGAAAAAGTTGTTCTGGCAGCTGTGTGGAGGTCACTTGAAGAGACCAGCTGGAACCAAGAACCAGTGAGAGATGGGAAGGCCAGGGCCAGGTTAGGGCCTGGGAGGAAGAGGTGCCAACCGATGGGTTTGACTGCATGGAAGAAAGCAAAGCTCGACCAGGCACGGTGGCTCACGCCCGTAATCCCAATGCTTGGGGAGGCAGAGGTGGGTATATCACGAGGTCAGGAGTTAAAGACCAGCCTGGTCAACATGGTAAAACCCTGTCTCTACTATAAACTACAAAAATTAGCCAGGTATGGTGGCAGGCACCTGTAATTCCAGCTGCTCAGGAGACTGAGGCAGAAGAATTGCTTGAACCCAGGCGACAGAGGTTGCAGTGAGCTGAGATCATGCCACTGCATTCCAGCCTGGGCAACAGAGTGAGACTCCATCTCAAAAAGAAAGAAAGAAAAGCAGAGCTGGTTGGGTACGGTGGTTCACACCTGTAACCCCGGCTCTTTTGGAGGCCGAGGTGGGTGGATCATGAGGTCAGGAGTTCAAGACCAGCCTGACCAACATGGTGAAACCCCATTTCTACTAAAAATACAAAAATTAGCTCGGCATGATGGTGCGCACCTGTAATCCCAGCTACTTAGGAGGCTGAGGCAGGAGAATTGCTTGAACTGGGGAGGCGGAGGTTGCAGTGAGCCAAGATTGCACCACTGCACTACAGCCTGGGCCACAGAATGAGACTCCGTAGCTAAAAAAAAAAAAAAAAAAAAAAAAAAAGCCGGGCGTGGTGGCTCAAGCCTGTAATCCCAGCACTTTGGGAGGCCGAGGCGGGTGGATCACGAGGTCGAGAGTTCGAGACCATCCTGGTCGACATGGTGAAACCCCGTCCCTACTAAAAAAAATACAAAAAATCAGCTGGGCATGGTGGCGTGTGCCTGTAATCCCAGCTACTCAGGAGGCTGAGGCAGGAGAATTGCCTGAGCCCAGGAGGCGGAGGTTGCGGTGAGCTGAGATCGCGCCATTGCACTCCAGCCTGGGTAACAAGAGCGAAACTCCGTCTCAAAAAAAAAAAAAGAGCTGAGGAGGACCCCAGGCCCAAGATGCTGGCTTACTGGCTGAGTTATTTCTCTGGCTCTTAGCTTCCTCATCTATAAATAGGGATCACAACAGGATTATCATCTTTATAAGGTTGTAGTGAAAACTAAATGAGAAAAAAAAAACATGTAAAGTGGTGGCTGGGTGCCATAGCTCACGCCTGTGTAATCCTAGTACTTTGGGAGGCCGAGACGAGCAGATCACCTGAGGTCAGGAGTTCAAGACCAGCCAGGCCAACATGGTGAAACCTCATCTCTACTACAAATTAAAAAAATTAGCGAGGCGTGGTAGCACATGCCTGTAATCCCAACTACTTGGGAGGCTGAGGTAGAAGAATCACTTGAACCTGGGAGGCAGAGGTTCCGGTGAGCTGAGATCGCACCACTGCCCTCCAGCCTGAGCAACAGAGCAAGACTTGGTTCCAAAAAAAAAAAAAAAGGCTGGGCTTGGTGGCTCATGCCTGTAATCCTAGCACTTTGGGAGCCTGAGGCGGGCAGATTACCTGAGGTCAGAAGTTTGATACCAGCCCGGCCAACATGGCGAAACCCCATCTCTACTAAAAATACAAAATTAGCCAAGTATTGTGGTGCATGCCTGTATTAGCTACTCGGGATGCTGAGGCAGGAGAATTGTCTGAACCTGGAGGTGGAGGCTGCAGTGAGCCAAGACTGTGATTGCACTCCAGCCTGGGCAAGAGTGAAGCTCTGTCTTGGAAAAAACAAAAACAAAAACAAAAAACTACATAAAGTGTGGCACACAGTAAGAGCTCAATAAATACTAGCTGTTGTTATTCCTATTATTAATCACCCCTATGGCTATCACTATTATTTATTCACTTAACAAATAAATATTTACTGAGCACCTACTATGTGTCCCACATTATTCTGAGGATACAGTAGTGAACAAGATCAACATAGGGTCAGGCACAGTGGCTCACATCTATAATCCCAGCACCTTGGAAGGCTGAGACAGGAGCATCATTTCAGGCTAGGAGTCCGAAACCAACCTTGGCAACATAGCAAGACTCTATCTCTACAAAACTCTAAGAATTAGCTGGGCATGATGGCACATACCTGTAGTCCCAGCTACTGGGGAGGCTGGGGCCAGAGGATCCCTTGAGCTCAGGAATTTGAGGCTGCAGTGAGTTAGACTGCACCAGTACACTCCAGCCTGGGTGACAGAGACCTGGTCCCCTGCTCCCCACAAAAAGGAGGCCGGGTGTGGGTATGGTGGCTCACACCTATAATCCCAGCACTTTGGGAAGCTGAAGCTAGAGGATTGCTTGAGTACAGGAGTTTGAGACCACTCTGGGCAACATGGCGAAACCTTGTCTCTACAAAAAATATAAAAATCAGCCAGGTGTCATGGCATATGCTTGTGGTCCCAGCTACCTGGGAGGCTGAGGCAGGAGGATCACTTGAGCCCAGGAGTTCAAGGCTGCACTACTCCAGCCTGGGTGACAGAGAGAGACATTGTCTCAAAAAAAAAAAAAAAAAAAAAAAAAAAGATCAGTATGGGCCCACCATTCAGGAAACTGACATGAGATGGGAGTGAGGAGAAAGACAAACTAGTAAAACATTAATTTACATGAAAATCTCAGACAGTGTTATGTCATCTATAGATCCTAAGAGGCCAGAGGAATGAGACAGCAGCTACAGAGAAATTCTGCAGGAGTCGGAAGGCTCCTTAAGGAGGGCACACAGGCCGGGGAGCAGGTATAGGGATGAGCTGGTCAGTTAGACTGTGGAGAAGACAGGACTTAGAGGAGAGGGCTCCTGGGAGGTACCTGGTCCTACCTCTCTCTTGGCCCAGCCGTGGGGGCTGAACCTCCTCAGGGACCCCTTCTGGGGGTCCGGCAGGTGACACGGGGCGGCTGGGCTGGGGGGTGCCCCCAGGACTGGGCTCTGTGCCCTTTTGCAGGGAACCTTCCGAATGGAAACTCTGGTTGCTGCTCTCATCTGCGGGAGCAAGAGCCGAGATGGTTGGCCTGAGGTCCCCAGTACTCTCCTTCAGTCCCCACAGCCCGCCACATTCCAGGATCCCTACCTACCATTAAGATCCAGCAGGATGAGAGGGCCACCCCCTCGAGGACTGGCGCCCCTGCCTCGACGTTCCCGGCCACGGGATCTCTCTGCCCCGCCGCCTGCCCGCCTTCGCTCCTGGGGTTTAGAGGATTCGGGTCAGAGCTCTTGCAAAGTCCCACCATACAAATAAGGAAACTGAGGCACTCAGAAGCAAAAGGGCTCGAACTCAGGGAGTGTGGGGCAGAAAAGAGGGAAAACGGGGAGGAGCTGGTAATGATGGTTCCCATCTGTGCTGCTGCCTCTGAGGTCTCAGGGGGAGCTAGAGGTAGAGGCCAGGGTGGGAAGGGGCTTGCCTGAGGTTGCACAGATGCAGGGCCTTGTGGGAACGGCGGTTGCTCACCTCCTCCTGGGGGTCCACCACTGGCACCCACTTGAAGATACGAAGAGAAGTGTCGCCCACAGTCACCCAACGCTTCTCCCTGTGGGAGGGTGGGGGGCTGGGTCAGAGAGGCCTGAAGGGAGACCCCCCCCAGGAGCCAGGCACATCTGGGGGTACCTGCAGAGGTTGGGGAGGCACAGGAGGGTAGCAACAGTTTTGCTAATGGGGCATAGTTACATGGAGAAAGAGAGCCCCGCAAACCCCAAAGCAGAGGCGGTGGGTACCTGTAGAGAGAATATGATTTGGGGCCCTGGCTCTGCGGATCCCTGGGGCACACATGGGGGGCGTGGCTATGGGCCTGGGCCAGGATCAGAGCCCTGAAGATCCTGGGGCGTACTTGCAGAAGGAGTGTCAAAGCTTTAGGGGGTGGGGCACAAACGGGGGCTCCTGCTCTAGGAGGGCACGGCTGGGGACCACGCTTTGTAGACCCCCAGGAGTAGCCAGGGGAACAGAGACAGAGCCCTGTGGATCCAGGGCAAAGCTAGTGGGCGGGGGTACACCGAACACCCGGGGCCCAGAGCTGGCGAGGGCAGCGAGGACGCCTTTGGTGGCGGTGGTCCCGCCGTGTCCCATCCTTGGCCCCCGGGCAACGCTCACCATCTCCGGACCTTCTCGATGGTCGCCATCACCTTCTTGATGTCATCCTTGGCCCGGCTCCGGGTTTCGGCCCGTACGGTCCGGCCGGCCATGCTGGCGGGGCTGGGGCCGGGGCCGAGCCCGCGGCGGGGCCGCCTCCCGTCCGGCGGGCTCAGGCTCGGCGCCAGGCCCCGGCGCCGCTCTCTCGGCCTGCCGTCCCCCCAGGAGTTGGGCGCGCCCTCTCTCGTCCCCAACGCCTCCGCGAGTCCCCGCCTGTTTCCTGCCGCCGCGCCCCGCCCCGGCCAGTCCCCGGAGCGGCCCGGTGGCGCGGGCGGCCAGAGCCCAGGCCTGGAAGCCCGGCCGGCCCCGCCCCGACCCGGGCCCGCCCCCTCGGAGCGCCCGGACGCGCAGCGCCCCCTGCCCGCCGCCGAGTGCCGGAGTTGGGGACGGCTCGGCGACCCGACGCGCGCGGCAGGCAGGACCGAGGCCGTGCGTTCAGACCACGTGGGCGCGGGGTGCGCGAGAGGATCTGTGTCCCGGGCTGGGGGCCCCGCGGTGGGTGTCGGCGAAACGCTGTGTGTGGAGTGCGTGCGTGTGTCCGCCCTCGCCAGGCTCTCGGTCTACACCGCCCAACTTACTCATTCATCCATTCATTCAACAGTCCTGTTAACGAGTGCCAATTACGCGCGAGTCGCTGCGAATACGAGTTCTCCACCCACTGGAATGGCTGAAGTGAAAAAGACCGTCACACCATGTGGAGGCGAGAAACTAGAGCGACTGGACCTCTCGTATTTCTGGGGGAGTGTAAATTGGTAGAGACATTTTGGAAACTGGCAGTTTTCTAATGAAACCGAACATATGCCACCCGTGTGATCCAGCAATTCCACTCCCTAGGCTGTCAACACCCAGCAGAAATGCGTAGGTGTGAGCACCAAGAGGGTGCATGGGAACGTTCAGAGTCCTTTCATAACAGCCCCAAACTGGAAATAACCCATCAACAGAATGGAAAATGAATGACGCCTTACTCATTACCATGCACATAAACACAGCAACGGGAGTGACATGCCCGCTACACCCAACAACATAGACAAGGCGCATGACGAAATCTTGAGTGAGAGAAGCCAAATATAACAGTACATACTAGATGGTTCCATGTGTATGATATTCGGAACCAGAGAAAATAATATGTAGTGCACCAAAGTCAAGATAGTGGTCACCCTTAGGACTGGGAGGGGACGAGGGGGGCCTCCTGAGAGCTGATCCGGTTCAGTTTTGTAATCTGGTGCTGGTTCCCTGGGCATATGTACTCTGAAATTCCATCACATGACTTAAATAAAATGACATTACTTAAAGACAATTAGTGTGTCTTGGTTGACTTTATTTGAGGCTGGCTTGTCAGCAGATAAGACCACGTTAAAATTTGTGTGTGTGTGTGTGTGTGTGTGTGTGTGTGTGTGTGTGTGTTTCAAGGTGTGGCTGTTGTGTCTGTGAGTTTTGGTGTGACCATGTCCAGAGGTTAAGGGCATAAGGAGTTAGGCGCATTGTTAGGACAGCATTTTTTGAGCCAAGCTGCTTAGGTAAAATCCCAGCTGTGCCACACCCAACTGTGTTACCCTGGACAAGTCACTTATCTCTGTTCCTCATCTATAACATAGAGGTAAGTTAATGTGTGTATAGCTCTTAGGACAGTGCCCGGCACATAATAAATGCTCAATAAATATTTACAGTGAATACGCATGTGATTGTGGGCCCTGCCAATCGTCTGGCTCAATTGCACCTGCTGTGCCCTCTCCAGTTAAACTCTTTCTTCCTTTATTCCAGCAATTGTCTGCTCACGGCAACACACACACCCACGCACAGGAGCGCACCCACACACATGCACGCGAACACACTCACCATCGCACACTTGCACGCACACACGCACGCGCGCGCGCGCACACGTCCCTCTTCCCAGTCCTTCACTCACAAACCCCATTAAGTGCTGCTGTATATGAGCTTCCCTGCAGACCGCGAGCCCCTCAGGGGGCCAGAAACCAAGCACGGATCATCCCTCTGTGCCTTCCTTTCAGTTTACACCAGTTAACGGGGTTGATGCGCCGATGTGACCCTCTGAAGCTTGTTCTCGCAGGAGTGTGTGTGTGAATCTCCAGGATTCTGTTATTAGGCCTGATAAGGTGAGGTGAGCCGTGTATCTGCCTCCCTCCTAGTGGGTGTGACAGTGAGATTAGAAGCTATCTAAGGCAGACCAGGAGATGTATGTCTGGACGAGCGCGCCCCAAGCCTGAGGGCTCCTATAGTGGCCTCTCTGGCAAGCCGCGCCCCAGACTAGAGAGAGGGCCTGCGCATTCCTGTCCTGCCAGCCCCGCAGTTCTCTCTCCTGCCTCCTCAGCTTTCCCCTCAAAGCAGCCCCTGCCTCAGGTCCTAGCCTGAGCCGGCAGCAGGACACTGGGCTACCGCCTAGGCCCCGACATCCCCAGCCCCGAGGTCCTGTCCACGAGGCGGACAAATTGCCTCCCACCTCGGGTCCCTTCCCCCACTAGGCCCCACGGGCGAGGAGCTGAGCTCAGGGCCAAGGAATCCTGTCTGAAAAGGGGAGGGTAGGGCGAAATGTTTGGGGTCTGGGCTCTGATTGGTTGCGGCCGGGCCACGCCCCCAGCCCTTTCCCCTTTCTCCCCCCTCGAAAGGGGGGCGTGGAGGGAGCCGGGATCAGCCAGGGGCCAGCATGAGCCGGAGGGAGGGAAGTCTGGGTAAGGGGCTGAGGGACCGGATGCCGGGTCGCTGAGGGTCGCAGGAGTCAGAGGGGTTGGAAGCTGGGGGTCTGGGTCTCGGCCACCCCAGGGTCCGGGAGGGGAGCGGCCTGGGCGGGGAATAGCAGGGCTCCGGTATCAGGTAACGAGCGAGCGGGTGAGTTGTGAGAAGCGGCAACTCGCTAGGTGAGTTGTTAGAGGAGGCCTGGGGCTGAGGCTTTAGGGACTTGGGCTCAAGGACTTAGATCACCAGTTCGAGCACACCCAGGGGGAGGACTGGGGTCGGGGCTGGGGCAGGACCCCTGCGTCCACTGAGTCTCGGGAAAGAATCAGAGCTGGGGGGCTGGAGGAAGGGGTAGAGTAAGGGAAGGCAGTCTTGGAGTCACAGGAAGTAGTGAGCGGCAAGAGGAGACGAAAGTCTGGATTGCTGAGGATCGCGACTGGTGCTAGGAAACTCCGGAGGGGGCGGGGCGGGGCGCCGGGTCAGGACTACATTCCCCAGCACGCATCAGGTGCGCGCTGTGCGTATCGGGAACTGGAGTCCATCCCGGGGTGTCAGACTGACTCTTTCGGACCTTGATTCGCTGACTGCCCACCTCAGCTTCTTGTTTGAAAGGGGCATCAGAGAGAGAAATGGAAATAGACGTCAGTCTCCCTATCTGTCAAATGGGCCTTCAAGGCACATTCCGATGTGAAGTTCTGTGCTTCGATGATGTTGAAGTCCATTAACAGTCACTGAGGTAGAAATATGTCAGCCCTGTCCCCAAAGAGCTCCCAGGCTAAGGCAAATACACACAGAAAAGAACCATTAAAAGAGCTACTCTGGAGCTCACTTAAATGGCCTTAAGTCGAAGGAAGGAGTTCATTTATAAAGGAGGGGTGATTCTGGAGGCTGCACTGAGGAGGCAGCACAGTCATGCACTGAATAACAACATTTGGTCAACAGATGGACCGCACAGACAATGGCTGTCTCATAAAATTATATGCATTTTTAGCCTTGGAAACATGGCGAAACCCCGTCTCTACAGAAAATGCAAAAATTAACCGGGCATGGTGGCGCATGCCTGTAGTCCCAGCTACACAGGAGACTGAGGCGGGAGGATCATTTGAGACCAGGAGGTTGAGGCTGCAGTGAGCTGAGATGGCACCACTGCACCCCAGTCTGGGCGACAGAGCGAGACCCCAGCTACTCCCCACCTCTCTCTCTATAAATATATAATTTTATGTATTATATATTTCTCTCTCTATATCTATCTATATATTTGTTGCTTTGTGTGTGGGTTTTTTTTTTTTTTTTTTTTTTTTTTTTGAGACACAGTCTCACTCTGTTGCCCAGGCTGGAGTGCAGTGGCACCATCTCGGCTCACTGCACCCTCTGCCTCCTGGGTTCAAGCAATCCTCCTGCCTCAGCCTCCCGAGTAGCTAGGATTCCAGGCTTCCGCCACCATGCTGGGCTAATTTTTTTTTTGTATATATATATATATATATATATATATATATATATATATATTTTTATTAGAGATGGGTTTTGTCATGTTGGGCAGACTGGTCTCGAACTCCTGACCTCAGGTGATCCACCCGCCTTGGCCTCCCAAAGTGCTGGGATTACAGGTGTGAGCCACCATGCCTGGCCTGTTTGTTTCTTTTGAGACAAGTCTGGCTCTGTTGCCCAGGCTGGAGTGCAGTAGTGCACCCTTGGCTCACTGCAACCTCTACCTACCTGGTTCAAGCGATTCTCCTGCCTCAGCCTCCCGAGTACCTGGAATTACAGGTGCATTCCACCATGTCCAGCTATTTTTTTTTTCTTTTTCTTATTTCTTTTCCTTTCTTTCTTTCTTTTTTTTTTTTCTGAAATGGAGTCCTGCTGTGTTTCCAGGATGGAGTGCAGTGGCGTGATCTTGGCTCACTGCAACCTTTGCCTCCTGGGTTCAAGCGATTCTCCTGCCTCAGCCTCCCAGGTAGCTGGAACTACAGGCCCACGCCACCACACCCAGCTATTTTTTTTGTATTTTTAGTAGACACTGGTTTTCACCATGTTGGCCAGGATGGTCTGAATCTCGACCTCATGCTCTGCCCATCTCGACCTCCCAAAGTGCTAGCATTACAGGTGTGATGGTGCCCGGCCAATTTTTTTTTTTTTTTTTTGAGATGAAGTTTCACTGTCTCATCTGATCTCAGCTCACTGCAATCTGTCTCTCAGGTTCCAGTGATTCTTATGCCTCAGCCTCCCAACTAGCTGGGATTACAGGCACATTGCCACCACGCCTGGCTAATTTTTGTATTTTTAGTAGAGACAGGATTTCACCAGGCTGATCTCGAACTCCTGATCTCAAGTGATCTGCCTGCCTCAGCCTCCCAAAGTGCTGGAATTATAGGTGTGAGCCACCACACCCAATGGTTGGCTATTGTTTGTACAGATAAGGTTTCACCATGTTGGCCAGGCTGGTCTTAAACTCCTGACCTCAAGTGATCTGCCCACCTCAGCCTCCCAAAGTGCTGGGATTATAGGCGTGAGCCACCATGCCCAACCGATATACATGATATCTAATAAAATACATAGATAGGCCGGGCGCGGTGGCTCAAGCCTGTAATCCCAGCATTTTGGGAGGCCGAGGCGGGTGGATCACAAGGTCGAGAGATCGAGACCATCCTGGTCAACGTGGTGAAACCCCATCTCTACTAAAAATACAAAAAATTAGCTGGGCATAGTGGCGCATGCCTGTAATCCCAGCTACTCAGGAGGCTGAGGCAGGAGAATTGCTTGAACCCAGGAGGCGGAGGTTGCAGTGAGCCGAGATCGAGCCATTGCACTCCAGCCTGGGTAACAAGAGCGAAACTCCGTCTCAAAACAAAACAAAACAAACAAAGAAACAAAAAACAAACAAACAAAAAAACATAGATACATGTATTTTAACTATAGCTTTTCTATGTTTTTATTTATTCATTTATTTAGAGATAGGGTCTCACTCTGTTGCCCAGGCTGGAGTGCAGTGACATGCTTACAGCTCATTGCAGCCTTGACCTCCCTGGGCTCAAGTGATCCTCTCACTTCAGCCTGTAAAGTAGCTAGGACGACTGGCATCTGCCATCATGCCCGGCTTGTTTTTGTATTTTCTGTAAAGATGAGGTTTCACCATGGCGCCCAGGCTGGTCTCAAACTCCTGGGCTCAAACGGTCAGCCTGAACGTGGCCTCCCAAAGTGCTGGGATTACAGAACATCAGCCTCCTCACTCAGCCCTTTTCTATGTTTACATACACAATTACCACTGTGTTCCAGTTGCCTGCCGTACAGTACCATGCTGTCCAGGTTTGCCGCCTAAGAACCATTGACTGTACGCCACATAGTGTGGGCATGGAGCACGCTGTACCATCTAGGTTTTGCGTAAGTGCACTCTATGTCTGCAACACGATGAAATCGCCTAAGGATGCATTTCTCAGAATGTATCCCCGTTGTTAAGCAAGGCATGACTGTCTTTGAATTTGCCTTTACTAGGATTTCAACAGTGATTTGGGGATAGGCAATACATTTCAGGGAGACCACCCACTTGACAAAGGTCTGGTGCCTCATTTTCCCTCAGTTGGAATGGGACAGACCCTGATGGGGTCAGGAAGGAAGAGACGGCTTGGGAGAGGTGATCAAGGAGCAGGGGCTTGGGCCATCCTCATTCCTCCCACTTTCCCACCAGAAGCCCCCCAGGCTGACTCCTCAGTCTCACTCGTTCCCCACTTGGAGGCCAAGATCCGTCAGACACACAGCCTTGCGCACCTCCTCACCAAATATGCCGAGCAGCTGCTCCAGGAATATGTGAGTGGGAATGGGGGTGGGGCGCCAGGGGCCTGGGGGATGGGAGCAGACATCCAGCGGTCCTCCATCAACCTTTCTCTCAACCTCATTTTCCAGCTGTGGAAATGAGGGCTCCTGAGAGGGACAGCAACTTGCCCCTGGCCACACAGCAAACTGGAAGAGGCCTGTCTGTGACCCAGATGCCATAATGTCCTCTCAAGCTTGAAGGCACCCTCGTCGGTGCTTCGTGTTTGAGACAAGGCCTCGCTCTGTCACCCAGGCTGGAGTGCAGTGGTGCCGTCATGGCTCACGGCAGCCTCAACCTCCTGGGCTCAAGACATCCTCCTGCCTTAGCCTCTCAAGTAGGTGGGACCACAGGCATGCACCACCACGCCTCGGTAATTTTTAAAATTATTTTATAGACACACGGTTTCGCTATATGGCCCAGGCTGGTCTTGAACTCCTGGGCTCAAGCGACCTTGGTGCTTTAAGTCAGAGGTAGCCTGGAGCAGTGAAGAGAACTCTGGTCTGTACCTCAGGAAACCAAGGTTCTAGGCTCTGTGTGATCTTGGGCCTTGGTCTCTCCCCAGCAGTGAAAGCAGGCAGCTAAACAAGATGAACTGTGAACTCTTCCAGCTGGGATATTCAGGGAGGCCAAGAAGAGATTCCAATCTGGAGCAACAATTCTATCCCAAGAGGGCACTTTTACAGAAGACAGGGATCAGCTGACATCTTTGGTTAGGCAGAGGGTCCTGCCCATGGAAAGAAGACTGTAGGCCTGCCAACTTGTTAATTGTGAGCTTGGGCAGTAACAATAACATTAAAATAATGTAACAACATGGCAGTGAATAGTAGTGTAATAGAACTAGCTTTGGGCTGGGTGCTTTGGCTCACGCCTGTAATCCCAGTGCTTTAAGAGGCTCAGGCAGGAGGATTGCTTGAGCCCAGGAATTCAAGACCAGTCTGGGTAACATAGTGAGCCCTCATCTCTTAAAAAAAAAAAAAAAAAAAAAAAAAAAAAAAAAAAAAAATTGGCCGGGCGCGGTGGCTCAAGTCTGTAATCCCAGCACTTTGGGAGGCCGAGGTGGGTGGATCACGAGGTCAAGAGATCGAGACCATCCTGGTCAACATGGTGAAACCCCGTCTCTACGAAAAATACAAAAAATTAGCTGGGCATGGTGGCCCGTGCCTGTAATCCCAGCTACTCAGGAGGCTGAGGCAGAAGAATTGCCTGAACCCAGGAGGCGGAGGTTGCGGTGAGCCGAGATCGCGCCATTGCACTCCAGCCTGGGTAACAAGAGTGAAACTCCGTCTCAAAAAAAAAAAAAAATTAAAGAAAGAAAAGAAAAAATTATCCAGGCGTGGTGGTGTATGCCTATGGTTCCAGCTACTCAGGAGGCTGAGTGGGGAGGATTGCTTGAGACCTGGAGGCTATGTGATCAAACCATTGCTCTCCACCCCTGGCGACAGTGTGAGACCCTGTCTATTTAAAACAAACAAACAAGCAAAACTAGCTTTGTGGTGCTACGAACTTTAGTTCAAATTCCAGCTCTGCCACTTCTTAGGGTAAGTCACTGTATCTCTAGCCCAACTTTTCTTTTTTTTGAAACAGAGTTTTGCTTTTGTAGCCCAGGCTGGAGTGCAATGGTACATCTCAGTTTACTGCAACCTCTGCCTCTGGGGTTTAAGAGATTCTTCTTCCTCAGCCTCCCAAGTACCTGAGATTACAGGCACCCGTCACCACATCAGGCTAATTTGGGTATTTTTAGTGGAGATGGGGTTTCGCCATGTTAGCCAGGCTGGTCTCGAACTCATGACCTCTGGTGATCTGCCTGCCTCGGCCTCCCAAAGTGCTGGGATCATAGGCGTGAGCTACCGCACCCAGCCCCACCTTTATCTTTCATTTGTTCAATCATATGATATTGATCCATTAAGCCCCTGCTCGATGCAGGTGCAGAGGTTGGGGAGGATAGGGAATGGAATGAAGCCCCCTTGGGCCCTGGACTATCTTATATGATTCCCATGAAGACAGGACAGGAAGCTTCCCCATTCATTGTACGGATGAGAAGACTGTGGCTCAGAGAAGGGAAGCGGTTTTGCCCCAAACTGCACAGCTATAAGTGGTAGAGACAGGATTTGAATTCCGGTCTGTAAGGTAATATTAATAAAAGAGTTGACACTTTTCTTGAACTCTTCCTGGGGCCAGCTCCTGTCTTGAACATTTAACATGGTCATAGCTGCCTTATGAAGTTGCTGCTGTTAACAGTTCTTATTTATTTATTTATTGAGACAGGGTCTGACTGTCATGCAGGCTGGAGGGCAGTGACGCTATTATGGCTCACTGAAGCTTTGACCTCCTGGGCTCAAGCAATCCAACCACCTCAGCCTCAACCTCCATTATAGCTGGGACTACAGGCATGCACCACCACGCCCGCCTTTTTTTTTTTTTTTTTTGGCAGAGCTGGGGCAGGTGGCTGGGGGGTGGTCTTGTTATGTTGCCCAGGCTGGTCTCGAACCCCTGGGCTCTAGTGATCCTCTAGCCTTGGCTCCCGAAGTGCTGGCATGCTGGGTCCAGTTTAGGTAGGAAGAAACAGGCATTGGTGTCAAGAGCATGCCACTTTGTTTTGCCCTAAACAGAGCAGCTCTGTTAGGAGGGGTTATCATTCGCAAAATGAGGAAACTGAGGCCCCCAGAGAGCGGGTGGGGAGCCCAGTTAACAGCCCCTCGACCGTGCTCCGGGGCCTGCTGACCCGCCGGCTGTGTCTCCGCAGGTGCAGCTCCAGGGAGACCCCTTCGGGCTGCCCGGCTTCTCCCCGCCGCGGCTGCCCGTAGCCGGCCTGAGCGCCCCGGCTCCGAGCCACGCGGGGCTGCCGGTGCACGAGCGGCTGCGGCTGGACGCGGCTGCGCTGGCCGCGCTGCCCCCGCTGCTGGACGGCGTGCGCCGCCGCCAGGCCGAGCTGAACCCGCGCGCGCCGCGCCTGTTGCGCCACCTGGAGGACGCGGCGCGCCAGGCCCGGGCCCTGGGAGCCGCGGTGGAGGCCGTGCTGGCCGCGCTGGGCGCAGCCAACCGCGGACCCCGGGCCGAGCCCCCCGCAGCCGCCGCCGCCGCCGCCGCCGCCTCCGGGGTCTTCCCCGCCAAGGTGTTGGGGCTCCGCGTGTGCGGCCTCTACCGCGAGTGGCTGAGCCGCACCGAGGGCGACCTGGGCCAGCTGCTACCCGGGGGCCCGGCCTAAGCGCGGCGGGGCAGCTCGCGCCGCCTCCTTGCTCCGGGCTCCGTCTCTCACTCCGCTTCTTTGTCTCTCTCTGCCGCTGTCGGCGTCCGTCTGTTCTCGCCTGTCTCCATTGCTCGGCCTTCTTTGCTTTTTGTGGGGGGAGGGGAGGAGGGGAGGGGACGGGCAGGGTCTCAGTCTGTCGCCGAGGCTGGAGTGCAGTGGTGCGATCCCAGCACTGCAGCCTCAACCTCCTGGGCTCAAGCCATCCTCCCGCCTCAGCCTCCCCAGCAGCTGGGACTACAGACAGGCGACCACAGCCGGCTTTTTTAAGTTTTATAGAACTGAGGTCTCGCCATGTTGCCCAGGCTGGTCTTGAACTCTCGGGCTCAAGCGATCCTCCCGCTCCACCCTCCCCAAGTGCTGGGATTGCAGGCGTTAAGTCACCGCCACGGCCTCTTTATGCTTTGCTTTCCCCATTCTCTTAACTCTCCGTCTGGGTCTACCGTTTTATCGCTCTCACTCCTTTCTCTGCATCCTTGGGCCTACCTCCGTCTCCTTTGGCCTCCCCCTTTACGCAGCTCAGGGAGGTCTCTGCCCTTCTCCATCCCCACCTCCTCTCTCCCTGTGGCTCCATGTGAGTGCCTGTGAACATCTCAGCCTCATCTCAAGGAGGTGACACCTTGTCTCCTGTCCCCCGCTGGCCGTCTCTCTGTGCTTTCCTGGCCACCGGTGTGCCTGCTGGTCCTGTGGGGGGAAGGCTACTCCGCGTCTCAGCCGCCTTCCGCGGGCTCACTCCACCCATATCCTCAGTCTCCCACACCCCATCCCTTTGGGCCTCAGCCCTGTCCCTTTGATGTCCTCCCTTCCTTCAGCCCCTCTGCCCTATTCCTACACACCTCCACGTTCTCCCACGAGATCTGTGGAGACAAAACAAACAACACCTTAAAAGAGTTTTATTTCTGGAAAATAAATTAATTTTTTGTAAATAAAATGTTTAAAAATAAAAAGGAAACTAAAGTTACCTGCATATATAATTGTTGGAGACAGCTTTAGGGAGAAAAGAACCCTTGGGGTGCAGCCTGGTCCCCCAGACATGCCCCAAAAGCCCAGTATAAATAGGAGGTTGACAGCCCCAGGGCAGCGGTGCCCTCTGCCAGCCCAGAACAGGAAGTGGATGTGCCCCAACAGGAAACAGATGTGATGCAGCCCTTAGTTCTTCAAGAATTGGGCTTCCACGGATCAGGAAGTGGTGCCCCTGAGGACAGGAAGTGAAATAGTAGCCCCTGACAGAGAGGCCAACGAGGGGAGCCGATGAACCTCAGCAGGAAGAAGGGAGGCCTATCTGCTCAGAAAGGCAGGATCCTCATAGAGGAAATGAGGTAGACGGAGACAGGAAGGCAGACCTGACCTCCCCAAAATTACCAAAAGGAGAAGGTCTCCGGGAGAGCCTAGGAAGGGGACCAACTGTCCTCTCCCTGTAGGGTGGCAGGTGAAATCTCTTTGGAGAGGCACGTCTTTCCAACCAGGAAGTGGACCCCAGTACCACTGGATGAGTAGCCCATGGAGTGATATCCACGGAGATTGACCCAGACCTGGAAAGCAGGCCAGAGGACCTGGGCAGGAAGGCCCCCGAAATAAGGAATTGAGACCTGGCTTCCAGGAAATATTCCCAGACATGGCACCCAAGCCCCGTCTGCTAGACAAGCTGTATCTCCTTCTCTAGCCCAAAAGCAAGGCAGAAAAGAGGCCATTATGAAACAGGAAGTGCTGCAGCCTCTGACAGGAAGTCCTGCCCCTCTATGCTGGGTACTTAGCCTTGAGCAGAGCCAAGTCCCTCACAGCACGGTCTGTCCAGTGGCCATATTCCCGGGTCACCACGTAGCCTCGACATTTCCTCTCGAAGGCCGAGGCCCCAAAGGCAACAAGCCCGAGAGTATCCTCTTCTGGGGGGATTGGCAGCCCCAGGGCCGTCATGATGGTGGCCATGTTGCCTAGCAGGCCTTGAGCCCTGAGTCTCGCAGCCCTGAGCTGAGCCAGCAGGATGGGACTGCCAGGGTTCAGGTCGCTCTGGTCATCCCCCACGAGCTGGAGGTGCTGGGTCAAGGCCAGGAAGGCCCCCTGGGCAAGTCTCAGCCGTTCCCCATCATCCAGGGCATGCCAGGTCTTGAAGAAGGCCGTGGCAGGAGGCAGGCTGCTGAGCTGGAGCTCAGGGGCTGAGAAGCCAGGGTCACTAAAAGGGCTGCCCTGGTACCGGAGCTGCAGGAAGGACAGAGACAGACAGGAGTAAGAAGACCAGAGCGGTGCCTGGGACTCTGACTTCACGCCTGCGCGCCGAGACTGGCTTCTTCCCAGGAGTCACCACTTGCTGCGTCTCCCGGAGCTGCTGGGATGTCCTGACACAGGGCAAGGGCTCTAGGAGGCTCAGGTGTGTCATTCTGTGCATTCTAGCTTTGCAAGGTGGAGTCACAAGCTTCAGGAATTCCCACCTGGCAGTATTATTATGAAGATGATAGGAAATCATATATATAAAGGACTTAGCAGGTTAGGCATGGTGGCTCACGCTTGTAATCTGAGCACTTTGGGAGGCTGAGAGGGCAGATCACTTGAGGTCAGGAGTTCAAGACCAGCCTAGTTAACATGGCAAGAACCTGTCTCTAAAATACAAAAATTAGCCAGGTTGTGGTAGTGCATGCCTGTTATCCCAGCTACTTGGGAGGCTGAGGCTCAAGAATTGCTTGAACCTAGGAGCAGAGGTTGCAATGAGCTGAGATTACATTACTGCACTCCAGCCTGGGTGACAGAGTAAAACGGTCTTAAAAAAAAAAAAAAAAGCAGGCCGGGCGCGGTGTCTCAAGCCTGTAATCCCAGCACTTTGGGAGGCCGAGGTGGGTGGATCACGAGGTCAAGAGATCGAGACCATCCTGGTCAACAAGGTGAAACCTCATCTCTACTAAAAATACAAAAAGTTAGCTGGGCATGGCGGTGCGTACCTGTAATCCCAGCTACTCAGGAGGCTGAGACAGGAGAATTGCCTGAACCCAGGAGGCGGAGGTTGCAGTGAGCCGAGATCATGCCATTGCACTCCAGCCTGGGTAACAAGAGTGAAACTCCGTCTCAAAAAAAAAAGCACTTAGCACAGAGTCTAATATACAATATAACATCTGATAAACAATAAGGGTGTGATAAGCCATCATTAATTAATATTTATATTAATATCAATGAACATAATTATTACTGTACTATTTCATTATTAATTTATTTATTTTGAGACAGGGTTTTGCTCTTGTTGCCCAGGCTGGAGTGCAATGGCACGATCGTGGCTCACTGCATGCTCTGCCTCCAAAGTTCAAGCAATTCTGCCTTAGCCTCTCAAGTAGCTGGGATTACAGGCATGAGCCACCACACCCAGTCTACTGTAATATTTTAAACCAAGTATATTATTGACAATGTAGTTATAGCCTGGTATCTTTTTTTAAAATCTACAGCATTTAGTTATATTTGCTTATTTTATTTCATTTTATTTATTTGTTTGTTTGTTTTGAGATAGAGTTTCGCTCTCGTTGCCCAGGATGGAGTGCAATGGCGTGATCTCTGCTCACTGCAACCTCTACCTCCTAGGGTCAAGCGATTCTCCTGCCTCCGCCTCCTAGGTAGCTGGGATTCCAGGCATGTGCCACCATGCCCAGCTAATTTTTTGTATTTTCAGCAGAGTTGGGGTTTCTCCATGTTGGTCAGGCTGGTCTCAAACTCCCGACCTCAGGTGATCAGCTCGCCTCAGCCTCCCAAAGTGCTGGGATTACAGGTGGGAACCACCACACCTGGCTTTTTTTTTTTTTTTTTTTCTTCCTGAGACAGAGTCTTGCTCTGTTACCCAGGCTGGAGTGCAGTGGCACAATCTTGGCTCACTGCAACCTCCACCTCCCAGGTTCAAGCAATTCTCCTGCTTCAGCCTCCTAAATAGCTAGGATTAGCTCAGCTAATTTTTGTATTTTTAGTAGAGACAGGGTTTCATCATGTTGGCCAGGCTGGTCTCAAACTCCTGACCTGTGATCTGCCCACCTCGGCCTTCCAAAGTACTGGGATTACAGGCATAAGCCACCACACCCGGCCTGTTAATTTTATTGCAATCATTAATAAATACTTGTTAATATTTTTACATTTAATCAAGAACCTTCTCCATCAAAGTTCTATCACAAAGTAAGATCACCAGAATCTTTTTTTCCCCCCCCTCTGGAACAGGGTCTTACTCTGTCACCCTTGCTGGAATGCAGTGGTGCAATCTCTCACTGCAACCTCCACCTCCCAGGTTCAAGAGATTCTTTTGCCTCAGCCTCCTGAGTAAAAAAGCACACTTTTACTCCTCAGCTGGGAGTAAAAGTGTGCACCACCACACCTGGCTAATTTTTGTATTTTTGGAAGAGACAGGGTTTGGGCCATGTTGGCCAGGCTGGTCTTGAACTACTGACCTCAGGTGATCTGCCCCCCTCAGCCTACCAAAGTGCTGGGATTACAGGTGTTAGCCACAGTGCTTGGCCCCTGGGACCTTAGTGCACACTGATAGATATCCTAACCGGCAGATTGCCTGGTCCCACACCCCCATTTACGAGTGGAAAAACTGAGGCTCAGGGTGCCCAAGGCTATCCAGGGAATAGTGACAGCTATGGGACTAGAAACTGGGTTGAAAGGTTCAGTAACTTCACACTGGCCAGAAGTCTAGCACAGAGAAAGACCTGCAAATGCCAGGGCCTCCAGGGCCAGGCAGATAGTGTTAGTTGTGAAGAAGGAGGACTGTGATGCCGGGTAGGAGCACTGACCAGTGGCATCCCCATACCTGCTACAGACAGCGATTCATATTCACACTTTGAACAGGAGCTGTATGGACCAAACCAAAAAACAGCTGTGGGTCAGACTCAGCCAACGGGCTGCCAGCTTTAACTTTGAGGGGGTGTGGTGGGCCTGGAGGGGGGAAGAAATTCCACAGACTTGGCTTCAGATCCTTGCACTGCCAGTTATTAGCTCTGTGACCTGGGGCAAATTATTCAGCCCCCCTAAGACTCCGTTTCTTCATCAGTAAAATGGATTATAATTCCACCTCCTAGAATTGTTTGAGGAGTCAGTAAGATAATGGGGGTAGAGGATAGGCACAGTGGCTCACGCCTGTAATCCCAGCGAATTAGGAGGCGGAGGCAGGTGGATCAATTGAGGCCAGGGGTTTAAACTGGCCAACATGGTGAAATCCCGTCTCTGCTAAAAATATAAAAATTAGCTGAATGTGGTGGCATACACCTGTAATCCCAGCTACTTGGGAGGCTGAGACACAAGAATCACTTGAACCCAGGAGGTAGAGGTTGCAGTGAGCTGAGATCGCATCACTGCACTCCAGCCAGGGCGACAGATGATGGGGATAGAGTGCCAAGCAGGCATGGGCCCAGGTAATCAGGCAGCATGAGTGGTGGGAAAGTAATCTTGGCTGTATAAAGCCCTTCTCTCTGGGTGTGTCCTTTGAACCGTCACAGTCCTGGGAAGTCGGCAAAGGCACACTCAGCATCCTATTTTGCAGATGAGGAAGCTGAGACCAAGAGAGGAAGAATGACTTGCCCAAGGTCACCCAGGTACCAGTGACAGCCTTTGAGTGAGTGTGGCTCTAGTGAACACTGGAGTGTCCCTCTCCCCTCGTCCCCTGCTCATGCCCCTTGTCACTCACATAAGTCTGCAGCAGCGTTGACGTGTTCTTCTGCATGTAGAGGGCCAGGCTGTAGGCTTGACTAATGGGCTCAGCCGGGGAGATGGGGGCTGCTGAGCTGAGGGGTGGTGACAGCAGGGTCAGCAGGCAGAGGCGGGCTGGCAGAGGAAGCCGGAGGTCAGCACCATGGCCCTGACCCTGCCTCCAATTCATTCATTCATCTTTACAACTCCTGAAAAGGGCCCAGCCCTTGTGGGCCTACCTCGATCCTGTGTACCCAAGTCAGTGACAAACCCTCCTGCAGTAGATTATCCTGGCCCAGAACACTGGGAACTCCA